TAGCAAAGCTGGCATTCAATTTAGTGAAAAACTTGCATATGTTCATTTTCATATGAACACGAGTGAATATAAAGTGAAGCTAATGCAAAAATAGTTGAAATAGTATCTAGCCATTTAAAACGATGGCATGTTGTTTTGGAAAAAAAAATAAAATAAAAAAGATGCCTCAATTTCATTTTAAAACTAGTCAATTATATTTTAGAATATCTAAAAAGACGTTATCAAGTTAAATGATCTAAATTATTGAGCATTTTAACTCATAATAAAATATAATGAAATTCAAGTTTCTTATATGAATTTCCATTAAATTCTAGTGTAATTTTTTCGCGAAACAATATTGTTGGTTACTATCGCGTGAACTTTATATAGTTCGTAGTTAAGTCTAATACAATTTACTCACGGAATAGTAGTGTTGATATTTGTCACTTGAACTTTGTTTCAATACTTAAGTCTAAATGTAACTAAAACTTCCATCCGTTCATTTTCATATGCATATGAATGAAAATAAAGTGAAATGGATATGAAATTAGTTGAAACGAGACCTAATCATTTAAAATGGCGGCATGCCATTTTGGATTATGGGGTCTCGATTTCACTCCAGAATGAGTTGATCACATCTTGGAACATCATATAAAACTTGTATAAGTTAAATGATCTAATTCATTGAGTATTTTTATCTTACAATGTTTGGAATATCATCCAAGACTATAAATGTTGAAAAGTTAAACGACAACCATATATTTGAACCACATACCCTAAACCCTATATCCTAAGTCCTAAACCCTAAACGATAACCATACATTTAAAATGATCGGATGCCATTTTGGGTCACATTATATCGCTGTCACTGCGAAACTAATAAAACAGTGTTTGGAACATCATACATGTGTTGTACACATTGAACGACTACACATGCTATATTTTGTATACCATACTTGCAACTTACATTTTTATTTATTGTCAAGTGTAGTATAGTATAGTTTCTACCCAAATTATAGAGTGACTCGCTATAATTTAAACTAATGTGTCGATGAAATATAGTTAAAACTTTCATATTTGAATTTTCAAGTTGTTATGGGCGTGAATAAATCGAAATGAACATGAAATGAGTAGAAACGTCACTCATACGTTTAAAACGACCAAATGCCTTTTTGGGTCACAATGTATCAATTTCATTCTGAAATTAGTAAAATGGTATTTGAAGCATCATACATGACTTGTACACATTAAACGAGCACACGTGTTATGTTTTGTATACCTCACCTGATACTTACGTTTTTCTTTATTGTTAAATGTAGTGTAGCGTACTATAGTTTTCAACTGAATTATAGAGTGACTTGCTATAGTTTGAACCAATATGTCAACAAAATGTAGTTAAAACTGTCATCCTTAAACTTTCAAGTGGTTACGAGCGTGAATAAATCAAAACAAACATGAAATGAGTAGAAATGTCACTTATAAGTTTAAAACAGTTAGATGCATTTTTGAGTCAAAAGATATCGATTTCACTCGAAAACTAGTAAAATAGTGTTTGAAATATCATACATGACTGTACACATTGAACGACTGCACGTGCTATGTTTTGCATACTACACTTGTTTCTTACGTTTTTCTTTATTATCAAGTCGAGTGTAGTGTAGTTTTCAACCGGATTATAGGGTGACTCGCTATAGTTTGAATCAATTTGTCGACGATAACGTCGAATGTAGTTGAAACTTTCATCCTTAAACTTTGAAGTGGTTATGGATGTGAATAAACTAAAAGAAAGTCTTTTACAAGCTAAACAAGCTAATTTATTAAGTATTTTAACTTATAATAAAATATAACAGAATTTAAGTTTCTTATCTTTGTTTGCAGTAAGGTCTAGCGTAATTTTTCTTACGAAATAATATTGTTGGTCACTATCGCGTGAACTTTATATCGATACTCAGTTCCAAATGTAATGAAAACTTCCACTCACTGATTGTCATGTGTATACGAGTGAAAATAAAATGAAGCGGATATGAAATTAATTGAAACGACGTCCAATTATTTAAAATGGTAGCGTTTTGGATTACGGGTTCTCTATATATAAATGTAGTAAAAACTTGCATTTATTCATTCTATATGGATACGAGTGAACATAAAGTGAAATGAACACAAAAACAGTTGGAACGATACCTAATGTTCACGAAATTATTTGTTCCGATTTAAGATCCACCGCAAGTGTACGGTTCATTAACAAGTAGTAAAATAGACTATGAGTCCAAGTATCAATCCCAAAAGGATTGAATTAGTTCAAATTAATCTATTATGACCTTAATCGAAATACGAAAATCAAATTGAGGTTTTGTACTTTAACTAAAAAGATGTAAATTTTGATGCAAGCATGAATGAAAAATTATATTAAATGCAAAATAACTAGGATGCACCTTAACTCGAATTTATGGATTTAATGAGTATACTAACGCAATAGGATCACGAATCCCCAAGCAATACCCGTTCAATTGTCAATTATGTAACTTTGACACACAGTTCCACAAAAGATGAATCAATATTCCTATTTTAATTTAGTAATCTCTCTCGAGCAATGCCAAACATATCCCAATATATGATTCGACTATATTTTTATGACGAATACTAACATATCGAAATGCATTATAAATTCACGAATATCCAATTATTCACACAAAGTATAGATGTATATTTCTATCCCCTATTGAACCCTATGATGATTTATACTATGTCGAAAATATTTTCCTACTTTCGAATGCATAAAACAGGCCACCACAATCATATAATTACGTATACAATAATCTTATGAAAATAAAAACGTAATAAATCAATCAAATCCGAAACTTGTGTTTAAATACGTCAAAAATCCAAATTAACAATCAAACATAGTATTACAAGGTTCATCGATCTCCTAACAATGATAAATCTAGCCTAACATGCTAAAAAGAAGAAAACATAAAAATATTTGAAGAAACGTCATCACCCGAATCAATCTTCAATCTAATCTTCACTTGACGCGATATTGTTTTCTTGTTCTATCCTTAGTTTCTCTTTCAAAATCTCTCAAAAATATGTAAAAAGGGCTTCCCTTATGATCTGATCGAGTTTTTGTATTTATAGGACCCTAAAAATATTGTTTCCATAAGAGTTTGGGCGGAAAAAGGAAACAACAATTTTACCCTAATGTTGCTTTATGCAACCACATAGAGCAACTCTATGCGGTCGCATAGAGTAAATTTTTGGTGCCTTTTTGTCTTCGGTATGCTACTATGCGACCGCATAGAGGGTAGCACTATGCAGTCTCGTAGTACTACCAACTATGGAATATGTGCGTTTTGGTCCTCCCACTTGCATCCTTCACTTATTGGCATCTTCTCTTTATTCTTTTCATTTCATCATCCCACGATATCGTCAATTGGCAATTGGATTAATCAATTTCTCAATTTGTTCATCGGATCAAATTTTGGATATTTGCACTTTGGTCCCTGAACTTTCACTTTGCGTTATTTTAGTCCTTTTTCACGTTTTTTCCTGAATTTCACCATGGTCATCATTGTTCCCTACAATTCACAAATGTAATGAAATTAAGTTACAATTTAATCATTTTGCTCATTATTCAGTCATGTTTGTGACCTAAATAAGTGTGCAAAAACATACTTATCACCTAACATTTTCATTGATATCATGCAGTTTTGGGTCACGGGTCTTGATTTCACTCTAAAACGAGTCGATAAGACTTGGGACATTTTAGACAACTTATATAAGTTAAACGAGCCAACTTGTTGAATATATTATCTCATAATTAGAATATAATGGAATTTACTTACTTTCGTTCGTAGTTAAATCTAATACAGTTTACTCATGGAACAATAGTATTGGTCATTATCACGTGAACTTATGCCGATACTTGGGACAAATATTATGAAAACTTCCATTTGTTCATTTTCATGTGCATATAAGTGAAAATAAAGTGAAGTGGATACGAAATTAGTGGAAACAACACCCAATCATTTAAAACGGTATCATGACATTTTGGATTATAAGGCCTTGATTTCACTCCAAAACGAGTCGATCATGTCTTGGAACATCATATAAGACTTATAAAATTTAACGAGCTAATTTGTGGAGTATCTTATCTCATAATTGGAATTTGAATTATTTAGCTTTTTAAAAACATCATGTTGTTCTGGATGATGGGGCCTTAATTTCATTACAAAACAAGTCGATCAGACTTATAACATCTTAAAAGACTTGAACAGGTTAAACGAGAAAATTAATTGAATATTTTATCTCATGATTAGAATATAATTGAAATTTACTTACTTTCGTTCGTAATTATGTCTAATTCAGTTTATTCAGGAAGTATTGATCATTATCCTGTGAAGTTTGTATATTTACTCGGGTCCAACTGTAATGAAAACTTCCACTTGTTCATTGTCATGTGCATGCGATTGAAAATAAAGTGAGGTAGATACGAAATTAGTTGAAACAATACCCAATCATTTAAAATGACAGCATGTCATTTTGAATTATGGGATCTCGATTTCACTATAAATTAGTGAAAAATTGTTTACGTTAGTTAAAATGTCATCAAATTGTTTGTAATGACAGTATGTCGTTTTGGATCACGAACACTCAATAGCATTTAAAATATAGTTAAAACTTGTTTTAATTAATTTTTATGTAGAGATACAAAGAAATATAAAGTGACAAAAATATGAAATTAATTAAAACGACATTCAGTCGTTCAAAATGCAATATGCCATTTTTTCGTTGGTTTTAGATTGTGAACGGAAAGTTAGAATCAAAGTGGGGAATTATGTTTGGGGGATCTGGTAAATTTTTGTTTCAGATTGGGATATTTTAAATATTTCAAATGAAGGGTGTATAAGATTTTGAACACATAATAAAATAGATTAAAGGCTAATTAAACAAAAAGTATTGACCATAACCTATTTTATCAAACATTATTGTTGACTGGACTTTTTAAGCAAAGCCCCCTTGAAAATATCATAAAGTGCTTCTTGTGTTTCTTGAACATTCATTCATTTCCTGCCTTGATTTTTCTCCTCTCTCTTTCTAGATTTGAAAATACTTTCTTCCACATTCGGGTTTCATCTTGCAGAAAATTATAGAATTTGATTTTTGAGTAACTTTTTGCACAATTTGAGAGTTAGAAACTGTAGCAATTTTCATTTTGCCTCTTCTCACGTAGTGGGCACCGTTAGATTTTGTTGTTTTCTTCAAATTTCTATCAAATCTATGTCTAATCTTTCACTTTCATCAACTATTCCCCATCGACAAATGTAATCTTCAAATGCGTGTTTTTTCACTGAAAATTTTAGAGATTTATAATCAGTCAGAATGATGATTTATGGACCATTAGCACCTGGTTCGGTCAGTGATTATCTCTTAATTGTAGCAAATTTGTGCTTATTGTATTATCACATTGGTTCTTAATTATTTTAGGTGGATTTTGATTTATATACCCCGCTGATTTTGTACAAGTTGCCTCTTTTTACTATTGTAGTGAAGAACAGTATAGAGGAGCATATTATGTACTTAAATTGTGAATTCATTTTAAAGTTCAGTACTTGAATATTTTATACGAGTTAAAGTTAAGTTGATTTTATGAAACCAATACCTTGATGAGTTAATTTTTATTTCCTTTTCTTTGTGTGAATTGCAGGAGTCATTTTTTCTTGGGATAGTTGCATGGCTGGGATATACTAAGACTATCTGGAGTACAGGGAAAATTCTTCATTGAAACCATGAATCAAAAAGCTATCTAGATCTTTGATTAAATTTGAATCTAAATTGCTAAAGTAATTAAGACAATGTGTGAAACATTGTGTGTGAAGATGTTTTTAAGTGATGTATTATGTTTGCTTGTAGATGCATTTGTTGAATGGTACGAATATTTGGTATTGCAACTGCTTAAATGGCTTATGAAATTAGTTACTAATTTTTATTATTATTATTATTATTATTTTTGAGTTTACGAGACATATAGAGATTTTGTTGAATTTAGTACCGCAGCTGTTTGAATGGCTCATTAAATTAGTTACTATTATTATTATTATTATTATTATTATTATTATTATTATTTTTTTTTTTTTGGAGTTAATGAGACAGAGATTTTGTTGAATTTAATGAGTGTATTTTCTTGTGGGAATTCTACATCTTTCTTTATTGGCCTATTCGAGCAGGTCATGGCATTCTTATCTTTAATGTGAAAGCATCCAATTCATACAGGGAATGTATATTTCGGATATAAGTAGATGAATGACTTTAGTGTCTAAGAAAAATAAAAGACGAAAAGAAGTGTGCATTGACAGTGCTAAATTGGATATCAACGTACAGACGCCGAAGAGAAAATCTCGAAGTTTTGTTCAATTAGAAGGTATATATTTCTAACCAGAAGGGGTTCCACGATTAAATCATCTTGTTCTTTGGGCAATTGAGGAAGCCTTTTTTTTTCCTAGTACACTAAAGTTAAAATGATAGTTGTAGATAAAAATGTCTTTTATCTTTTCATTTATAAGAAGTTGAGGTAGAAATGATCGAAATTAAGCTTGTGTAGCTTAAAAAATTGATAAAAAATTAAATAAAAAATGAACAATTAAATATGATGACGTATTTTTTAAATTCACAACTTTTATCAAAATATAGTAAAATGTTGATTTTTAACTCCACTGAGCAAGGACTAAATTAAGGTGGAAGATTTGATTATAAATACCTATGTTGATGTTGCAGTATCACTTTGAGATCATCACTTCGGCTTAGATGATTAAACTATGTTGAATCTACCAACCCATCACACAAGCAGAATTCCAACTACGGAAGAGAGCAGGATGTTGGCTAAAGATAATATGATACTCAAGTCATGTTCTGTCTGTTTTATTTGGAAAGATGACAAATTTTTTGATAAAAAAGATTTGATATTTACCTTTCTTCCATTTGATAATAGCTTACAAAGAGAATAGAGTAAGTAGAATTGACGAGTGAGACTTTGCCCTGATTCCTCTTCCATTCTAACAGAGCAAGAGCAACTGTTGAATTGCAAGAATCTATTGGCTCGATTATTGGAAATTGAGTTGAAACATTCCTGAAATGCCCAGTAAAAGGACTGATGAAACAAACTTCTGAGGTACCTATCTCAAAATTAAAATTTTCTACATATTTATTATTATTATTATTATTATTATTATTATTATTATTATTATTATTATTATTATTATGTACTTTTAATCACCTTTAATAAACATCTCAATAGGAACACAAGGAAAATAGCTCTATTAAGACAACAACTACACATAGCTAGGGATGACAATCGGGCTTGCCGGCTCGGGCCGCCCGTGGCTCGGCTCGAAAAAAGCTCGAGCTCGCCCTACTCGAGGCTCAGGCTGAGCTCCATTTTTAGGTGCCGGGCAAAGCTCGAGCGGGCCAGTGTGGCTCGTCGACTCGAAGCATATATTTTTTTAAAAAAATTTTAAAAAAATAAAAGGCAGCGTGTTGCTGCCAGAAATATGGCAACAAGGCAGCAACCTGTTGCCATTTTATTTAATAAAAAAAATTTTCAAAACCAAACAAAATCTGAGCTGGCTCGGCTCGAAAGGCCCGAGCCAAAAGCTCGAGTCAAGCCTAATTTTTTTTGCAGAGCTTATGCTCGGCTCAGGCCTAGAAAAAAGCTCGGATATTTTACCCGAGCCCGAGCCTAAGCCTAAAATTTCGACTCGCGAGCCAACTTGACTCGACTCGTTGACATCTCTACACATAGCACATGTTATACATCAAAATTGTAAATAAAGAAGCAATAACCAACAAAGTTCCATATGAAGTCATCTTTGCCCTTGACTCACAACTCTAAAATGAAGAACATCTAGCTACCAAAATCATACAACAAAACACTTCAAAAACATCTTTTCAACTCACAAATGCAAATATTACACCAACAAATAGTTCTCCAATCCAAAGAATGTTTATACATGAAGTTGACAAATATACAAACAAAAAGAAAAATCAGGAGTAACTGTTTGAGGATTTAAAATATGTATTTTAAATCTCTTTTGCATGTTCATGTTCACAGTCTTCCAGACCTGACTTGCAACATCTCTATTTGCCATACTATATATTGTTTATTGTACCTAAAAACATGTTAAAACCAATGTATCCAAGTATAGCTTGTAACAGCTTTGCTTTTTGCTTCGTATTAATACCACCATGTATTTATCTGTGGACACATATTTTATATATTCTAGTGTAGTCTTCATTCAAAACAGGTTTCATTTTTCATTGGAATCCCACAATATGAAATATATATGGTCACAATGAATAAAACATGATTAAAGTAAAGAAATTGAAAAGAGATTAACAGAGGAATCGATGTTTTATTAAAGACAATGTGTGGAAAGAATATAAAAATTCAACAATAAAGATTCCCCTAAACTGAATGAAGAGTCACATATTTATAGGAACGTACCAAATCCTAAAAATATCATAAAATTGAAAATAATATAAAAAATAATGTGAAATAAAGGAAATAATATTTTTCCAATAAAATCACGTGAAAATAAAAAAACAATGTTTTCCAATAAAATCCATCCTAATTTGGGACACAAAATTTAATAATATATGGACATGTAAAAATGAAGTAAGAT